CGACGCCACCTCCTCCGTCCGCCGCACCGTCGCCGCCGGCGCCGTCCGCCTCGCCCTCGCCGCCGCCGCCGTCCGCCTCGCCCTCGCTGCCGCCGACGTCAAGGCCGCCGCCGTCCGCCTCGCCCTCGCCGCCGCCTCCTTCCGCCTCGCCCTCGCCACCGCCTCCCTCCGCCTCACCGTCGCCACCTCCTCCATCTGCCTCACCGTCTCCGCCGCCGCCGTCCGCCTCACCATCTCCGCCGCCGCCGTCCGCCTCGCCGTCGCCGCCGCCGCCGTCCGCCTCGCCCTCGCCGCCGCCACCGTCAACGCCGCCGCCGTCCGCCTCGCCCTCGCCGCCGCCTCCTTCCGCCTCGCCCTCGCCACCGCCTCCCTCCGCCTCACCGTCGCCACCTCCTCCATCCGCCTCACCGTCTCCGCCGCCGCCGTCCGCCTCGCCCTCGCCACCGCCTCCGTCCGCCTCACCGTCGCCACCGAATCCCTCCGCCTCGCCGTCGCCGCCGCCGCCGTCCGCCTCGCCCTCGCCGCCGCCGCCGTCCGCCTCGCCCTCGCCACCGCCTCCCTCCGCCTCACCGTCGCCACCTCCTCCATCCGCCTCACCGTCTCCGCCGCCGCCGTCCGCCTCGCCCTCGCCGCCGCCGCCGTCCGCCTCGCCCTCGCCGCCGCCACCGTCTCCGCCGCCGCCGTCCGCCTCGCCCTCGCCGCCGCCGCCGTCCGCCTCGCCGTCGCCACCGCCTCCCTCCGCCTCACCGTCGCCACCTCCTCCATCCGCCTCACCGTCTCCGCCGCCGCCGTCCGCCTCGCCCTCGCCGCCGCCGCCGTCGGCCTCGCCCTCGCCGCCGCCACCGTCAACGCCGCCGCCGTCCGCCTCGCCCTCGCCGCCGCCTCCGTCCGTGTCGCCATCGCCACCGCCTCCCTCCGCCTCACCGTCGCCACCTCCTCCATCTGCCTCACCGTCTCCGCCGCCGCCGTCCGCCTCGCCCTCGCCGCCGCCGCCGTCCACCTCGCCCTCGCGGCCGCCACCGTCAACGCCGCCGCCGTCCGCCTCGCCCTCGCCGCCGCCACCGTCTCCGCCGCCGCCGTCCGCCTCGCCCTCGCCGCCGCCGCCGTCCGCCTCGCCCTCGCCGCCGCCACCGTCGCCACCTCCTCCATCCGCCTCACCGTCTCCGCCGCCGCCGTCCGCCTCGCCCTCGCCACCGCCGCCGTCCGCCTCGCCCTCGCCACCGCCT